ATAAATTAATTCAAATGACATTGTAATCTGATAATGATGACATTATTATTCATTTCTAAAGAATTTTGATTCAATTTATTTCTCGCGATAGTATTTTTTCATTAAATTGGAAATAATGATTATATCAATTATATCAATAAAAGTAAAATGTTCTATCAAGATTTATGATATAAAACAAGTTCATGATTTTTATTGGAATCATTTCAATGAAATTTCTATAAGAAATTATGATTTTAATGACGTAAATGCAAATGGAAGTATCCTTGAACATTTGGTATTTAATATTTCATGATTCTTGTAATATTTTCATTCGTCGATTATTCATTTAATTTTATATGAGATATAACTATGTACGTATTACTTAGATTATCCGTTTTTAAAGATTATTTTAAATATTTTCTTGTTTTTTCATAATTTAAAGAAATATTTTTAATTATTTAATTGTATATTAAAAAAGAGTGATAAATAGATAAAATTAAATTATTTTTTTAATTTTAGAAAAGTTATAATAAGAAATTTTAAAAGAGCTTATTATTAAAAATACAAAGCTTAGAATATAGAGATTTTAATTGTATTAAATTATATGATGCATATTATATATTAAGAAAAATAAAAAAAAAGAAAAATCTTAAAAAAGTGATACTTATTAAAGTATTTAAAATTAATTTAATTTTAAAAATTAAAATAAGATTAAAAATAATAATTATTAAAACATTTTTTAATATTAATTATTTTCGATTAAATAATTTATAAAGCAAATATAATTTTTTAAATATCAAATTGATTCTTCATCTTAATAAGTAAGATATTTCTAGATTTAATGTCTAATGTTTCTCTTTTTTTTTTGTATAATCTTGCATTAAATTGTACAACATTCAGACAACAATGAACGTAAAAATAATTACGATATCATATAAAATCAAATCTATTGTACGCTTCATAATATTTGAGAAATTATTTCCATTTGTAACTCAAATTTCCTTCCTTTTTGTTTTTTAATGACAATAAATTTTCTTTTCTTCTATGAACGATAGAAAGATTAAAAAAAAATGTTCATCTTTATATCTTTATTAATTTCATCATCATTATAAATTATTGATCTGATGATTAAAAGAAACATTCACCTCTATATCTTTATTATTATTCATAGTTTCATTATCATTATAAGTTATTTATTTTATATATTTATTATAAATTACTTTTCTACATTCATTATTACTATTTAATATGTAATCGATATCGTCGAAGATTTTTATATTTGATACATAACTTTCATATATATATATAGTAATTATTGAAATAATTATACATATATATTTTGTATCAATTTTTATCAATTTTTGTTATCAATTTTTTTTTAAAAAACAAAAAATACAAAAAAAAAAATACAAATAAAAATATTATTATAGAATTATAATTTTTAAAAAAATCTAAAATTAATATTATTACTATTTTTTTCTAATTTTCAATTTTTAAATATTGTATCATAAAATTATATTTTAAATGTACATTAATAAAACACAATGAAGAAATATTGATTGATTGATTAAATAGAAATTTTTAAGATTTTAAATATAATATAATA